CTGGTCAAACCAAGTGAAATATCTTGGATTAGTACTTGACCAACAATTAACTTTTAAAGACCACATTGAGGGCATTCAAACCAAATGTAACAAATATATAAAATGTTTGTATCCTCTTATAAACAGGAAATCCAAACTTTGCCTGACGAATAAACTTCTAATATTTAAACAAGTTTTTAGACCGGCCATGCTTTACGCTGTGCCAATATGGTCTAGTTGTTGCACTACCAGGAAAAAAAGCACTCCAAAGGATTCAGAACAAAGTTCAGAAGATGATTTTGAAGTTGCCTCCCTGATACAGTACTACCGAAGTACATAGAATTTCGAATGTTGAGACTTAAGCACAAATGTCCAACAAAATAATTAATAATTTCCGGCAAAAATCGTTGCAATCCTCAATTGCAACGATTAATTCCCTTTATACTTAGATAAGATTTAGTTGTAGTTTTTAGTTTTAAGATATCAATTGTTTAAAAAACCTGTTTAAAATACTGAATTGCCAAGACAGGAACAATGTAAAAACACTTAGATATATATCATAACAATTAAGGCTGGTAAGTTACTGTAGTAACTGGAGCACCTAGGTTAAAAATGAAATGTTATTTATTTTGAATTTGGAACAAATAAAAAGTAAAAAAAAAGCTTTTTTTTCACAAAAGTGTTTTGGGTCAGGTCCTTTTCTGCACAGAGACTAAAGGGTGTCCACAGTTAAATTGCATCACTTAAAAAAGCTGTAACATTTTGCCCTTTAGGAAAATTTTAATTAAATTTTGGGTGAGTGGCCTCAGCGTATATTGTTTACACTGCGTGTGTTTCATTGTGAATTTTCTATTATTTTTTAAAATGGAGTCGAAGGAAGATGCGTGGGCGAGAAAAATTTGTTTGCACACTAACCTCCCCTAATAAAAAATACCATACCTGAACGATAACCCAAATGATTAAAACATTCCACGAATGGTTTGGATGATACCCTGAACACGTCGGTAAGCAAAATAACCATACACACTTTATTAGGGTCAACAACCCACATCTATCGCCCCGAGCTATCGGAAAGATGTTGGGAATCCAACAAACTACTGTTTCTCGTGTCATGAAACTTTTCGGAGAAAAGCAAGTGAGTGCAAGAAAAAGTGTTCCGTACTGCGTTCAAGATCACAAGCGAGTGGTTGCTGCCTTCAAACGCAAAGCCAACTATTCCGTCGCGAAAAACTGCACCTGACAGAAAGTTTCGTGCAGAAAGCCAAGAAACGAGCAGGACTTTTCTAGGTTCAGAAAGCACCAAACTGCAATGAACGGCAGAATATGACGGTTAGAACGCGGTTACACACTGCTGTATCATGGACGATGAAACATACGTAAAAGCGTTGAAGTCAGGGAAACCAATATGACATATTGACATATTGACACATTGTGACTGCGAAAGACAAGTTCAACGTTTCAGAGTCCCTCAGAAAACAGCAAGTGTCGAAGTTCCCCAAGAAATTCATGATTTGGTAGGCGATTTGTTCGTGCAGAAAACGGAGCAAGCCTTTCGTAACAACTACAACCGTAAATGGCCATGTCTACACGAATGAGTGCTTGAAGAAACGACTGCTTGCGTTTATCAAATCAAACAACGTTCCTAAATTTTTTTGACGGTTTTATTTTTTTGTATTAATTTATTTGTACAGACTCCATCGAATAAACTTTACAGAGCCAAGTTATCATTTGCGTTATACATAATTAATGTCTTAAATCTAGAGTTAAAATTTTGACGGGTTTAGCCTCTTGTAATTACTCCAAGGACGTTCTGGAGTGGTGTAAGATGAATAGGGTCAATTTTATGCTGATAGGATTATATTATTTCCGGGAACAGTGCCTTGTAGTTTAATTTAATCTAATTGATTTAGTTTTTCCAAACTTTTTGTTCCTGAATTGTATTCTCTTTTGTTATCCGGTATGGCCTTGCTCTCGCGGTTTATCTATTGTTTGATGTGATGAGCTATTTTTTTTGTCTACGTGATTGTGGTGGGTTCTAAGATTTTTTTTTGTTTTTCTTTATTAAAGAGATTGTGGTGTGTTCTAAGAAGAAAAGATACCAAAACACATTCAATCTTGCAGAGTTTGGAGCGGTGAGTGAATATGACATGGAAGAATTGTTGATCATATCATGCAGAGGGTGTGCGTGGAAGCTTATGTGTATATTTCCATCAAACGCTGGTCATGACTTAATTTGGTGACTGTGTTCCAGTTGAGGGGTATTCTTATGATTGTTTCCATTGCTGTCGATTCGTGTTTACTACGTTTGCTGTTTTGCTCGGTTTGCGGTAGGGTGCGAGTGTTAAGATTTTCAAGTAATGAAATTGGGTTGTTAGCGGAATGCTTTAATAAAACAACAAAAAAGGTTATCTTCCATTTAATTCCACTAAATTAAATATAGTATCTATGCCAATCACACTAATCACAAAACTTCAAGGTGATATTAGTCGATTGCTGAATTTATGTATGGGCCCAAATTAGGAGCATTTAGGCCGACATTACATCCATTTCCCCTATGTCACTTTTGCGACATTGAAAAGGAAGACTCAGATGAACACCTGCTGTGCTCTTCCCAACAATCACGTATACCTGAATTAAAGCTTATTCAGCCAAAAATGTGTTTCTTCAGGTAAAATTATTCACCTTTTAATCACCTTTAATTGTTTGTTGGGTTATACAACATTTTTTAGATAGTGGCTGACAGAATTTTTTGATATATGGGATGCAACTCCCAGCCAAGTGGTACACTTCATTCAAAGTGTAGTAGGTACCTGACTGGGAAAACGCTTCTAGTCAATCTAGAATCTAGAAATCTGTGGTCACTTTACATAGTGATACGACATAGTAACAAAGTAACTAATATAAAATCGAGGAATCTATCACAAAAGATCAAAGTAATAGTTGCAGTGATGAAAATACCCTATATGGAATTTAAAAAAAAAGTAAGAGGTTGTATCCAAGACATGACCGTAGATTTGACGTAGGTAGTTATGATGTCACAGCAAAAGTATAGTAAATATTAAATGGTTGTAATTAAATATAATTAAAAAACAACATTATCGCAATGCAATTCCGCAATGCAAACAACAGGTTTATTCATGTTGTTTACCAATTTATTCTTTTGAAACGTATTTTTCTAGAAATAATCGTGAATTAAATGCGTTACAAACAATGTACATCTTTGTTTCAAAGGAAAATAGTCAAATGTCCTACCTTGTCTTGAAGACCCTTCTCCAGCATCCCAACCAGTAGATAAAGCAATGTTGTCTCTAGCCGTTCTGATCCTGTCTCGGTAACACCAATTTCTTTCAGCATCAGTTTTCGGCTGCTTCTTCGGAGGTTTGTCCGCTTGCTCTTCCTTTACGTGCTTACGTGATCGACGCTTGTATCGTGTAGCCGAATGCTGCGACATGGCTTTATCGATAAACTCGCAAACAATTTCTCAATTATCAATTACTTCGTACAATTGTAGATATTTGAATAGACTGGCCATCAATTTTGGTATTCGGAAATTAAATCTGCATACCGGACGGTACTTACCTTTATGCTTTCTGATGCAAATTTTAAGCCAGTCCTATTGAGAGAATTCGGCAAGATTTGTTTTTGGCATAATTCTCTTAATAGGAGGGGCTTACAATTTGCATCAAAAGGCATAAAGATAGGTACCATCTAGCATGCTATCACGGTATCATGGAAAGGCCTCGTTTTATGATGACGTAATTACGCATTTCCGTGCACAAAACGCACGGATTTTTTGGCTTTTTCCATAAATGAAAAATATGCGAAAATTGATTGTAGGAATCTAGGATGGATGACCTTGACTAATGTTCAAATAATACTCTTTAACAAATTTAAGGTGGTCCTGAGAAGGACCGTTTTGTCGTGATGGTTGAGTAATGCTGAGCTGGGTGAGGCTGTCGAGCTGTATGTTATTTGAAGCGAGGGTGACACGCTTGGCATAAATGACCGACCCGCAGCGACTCACTAAGGGCTACTGATTCTGATTTCGATTCCTAGCGGTGGGGCTTCTTCCTCCTATTGTTGCTTACGTGGGCTCTGCAGCTTGCTGCTTGCAGGCAACCTTTCGTAGCGTACTGGAGAACAATGTTCAACGACACACCGAAAGCATTGCTGCTGCTGCTACTACTGCTGCTACTGATGCTGCTGCTGCGGACACCGTCAACCGGACACCACTACACACGATGATTGAATGAGCACAGTTCAGTGAGACAGGATCGAATTCGATTTTTAAATCTGTGTTAGGGAATGCGCTGTTTGCAGGTAATCGGTGATAATTTTGAACACCATTGCAACAGTTGGACATTTGTGTATTTTTCAATAGTGACCTATAAGAAATTAATAAAGTGTTCAGTTTAGCAGATTGGTAGATAAATTCCCAATGTAGTCAAAACCTGACCTATTTTCGTCATGCGGTCGATTTTGGTTTTTTTGAAATTGCACCCCCAATATGTTGCCGAAAGACGTAATCCTACGTCAAAATAACTTGATGCGATGAATGAATTCATCTAGTAAATACTATGTTCAGCGAAATGACTTTCTCTAACAAATGTTGGGTCGCTGGATCTAAATTTGAAACAAGATTACATCTAGATTCATGACTTATTTTAATATGTCAGTTTTACACATATAAATTTAGGGGCTCATTCAAATATTACGTAACACAAGAGAGGTAGTCTGGGATTGCGTTAATCACCATGTATTAAGTATAGGAAAAGTGCGTGACGGTAGTATTGAAAAATCAACTTTTTGTGCGGTTCATAATATTTGAATGGGCCCTAGTTTGGAAATTTCGAATGATTACACTGTGAAAAATCCCTATTCATTATTTGATTATATACTCTATTCGTAAGGTAACGGCCCATATGGCATGGAATTGACAGTTCATTGCTCGGCTGTCACATTTGACAGATGGTGGGCGAAAATGGGACGGTGGTGTTCATCTCGCCCCTCAGAGAAAACTTTGCAACCGGCTCCGGTTACGTACGGTTCACTCCGGCTTCCAATTGATTTTGTTCTTTCGTGGTGTCAAGTACCTTTTCTCTCTCAAGAAAATTTCAAAGAAAGTGTCTCAGTTTTTTCAAGTGTTTTTTCCTCTTTAAGAAGTAAGTAAAACAGTTTCAAACTGTTGTAAAAACGTTCGGTATCAGTGGCAGTTGGAGTAAAGCGTAAAGTTTGATGTAAATGTACACTATTAGGGGAAGAAAATGACCCTTGAAAATTTTCCACCCCAGCCGATCGAAATCCGCAATGACGGCCTCCATTTGCGAAAAGCAATTCCTCCATCAGGGGTTTATGTGAGACAAAAAGACATATGACGTTCGAATTGTATACTTTTCTTCTACGCCATAGCTTTTCGTGCCGGGTGCAAACTATTACATTTAAAACTTGTTAAGTTAGTTTAGATTCAACGAATGTCTTTTCGAAGCCTATTGCCAGTATGAGCAGGGCGTAATCCCATTTCACCCGGTTCAGATGGATCATGGGTAGCAAAAAATTATCGATTTTTCGTCTGTCTGCTCTCGGGTGTTCACTTCCAAAGTCTCTTTCTCTCTCTCTATCTCGTCTCTGCCTGTGTTCCACTCCGTTTTTTGTATTGTATTGTATTGTATTGTATTACCCCATTAAGCAAGCCGGCTTCTGTTGATGACAAGTCGCCAATTTCGTTTTTCTCTTACCTACATGTAGAATCATTTCGTGATGCTGATAAGCTTTTACTATTCTAGGCTGGTGAGAAATGAAATGTCTGGCTTAGAAGAAGTGACGACACTAGTAGTAAATTCATTTTTCCTCTCATAGTTCTCTGTACAGTTCCGTCAAATATAAATCGATGGAGGTGGATTTATTATAGAGCTGTACGTACGGTTAGCTAGTGTAACTGTATATGTGACGTGCTCTTTAGTTACTAAATCGATAAAAAGCCATGGATAATGGTCCAATTTAAGGGGTTGATTAACGTTATGCTAAAGATAATGATACCTGTGATGTCAGTGATAAATGTTTGATTTAACATTGTAATGATTGACATCAAGCTGTAAGTGTTGTACATTAACTATTAAATATCATAGTTAGTGACTCAGAAAGTTGTGTAAACATGGAATTAATTTCTCGAATATTTTCCAAGAATGTGAAATAGATCAAGAAACTATCTTATGAATCGTCGCGCATGAGTGTCTACTTTGAGCTTCTTGCTTCTTCTGAGCATTCTTCAGATCTTGCGTTCACTTAAGTTGCTTTTGGTTAGAGAACGTTCGCCAAATTTACTTCAATTTACTCTTGCATATACATACAATTGGACGTGTACTATGCTTAAGGGGTTGCTTGAGACTGTGTGCGTTTCAGTTTTCAGTAATTTATTGCGATGCGATAAAAAGCCGGCCGGCGGCATAAACTGTATACGTAGTCGTCTTCCACAATCCACGCTTGGTTCTGTAAGGTTCATGAGTTTGAGTTTGAGTTTGAGCGAAGCAAAAAAAGGACGGAAGAGAATGTGTAGGCGGGTTGTGAGTTTCCTCGGCTCTAATAAGATTTTTTTTGCTAATCATTAAGTGAAGCAGCTGTTGCCATGGTAGTATTTTTTGGGTGATGATATTAGTGCTAGGGAATAATGCTAACAAACTGTGAAATGAACCTAACTACTCAGAAGAAGGAAGATTCTACCACTCTCGGTATCTATTAATATGATATTGGTATTGATGATAGTGGATATATACACTTGAAAGTTTTAGCTCAAACCCTTTTTGGAAGAAACTACGCTATGGAACTTCATTTGTTATCAGGAACGGCATAAAGCATGACCGGTTTATAAACTTGCTTAAATAATAGAAGTTTGTTCTTCATGCAAAGTTTAGATATCCTGTTTATAAGAGAATAGGGCTTATATCTAATTTTGGGCCAACTAAGCACACCCGCAATTGCCTCTATTTTTCGAACGGATTTTGTTTCACAAAATGGAATGTTTTCCCTGTAGATGTCTTTTAAATTTGTTTACCTTTCCGTAAGTACAGTAAGATTTGATAAAGAGTAACAAATTGTTGAGATATTGTCAAAAATCTTACATTGCTTCTTGACCCCTACTAGGCCTGATGTTTTTGACTCGATAGGCCCAAAACGGGTGATTAGGCTAAAGTAGTTCTCTACCATGCAAACATTTTATATAGGTATTTGTTGCATTTGCCTTGGATGCAAAAATAATGCGAGCTACTAATTTATTTGCATGAGTATTGATTTTTTTTTATGATTCTGATTTATGTTTAACCTGTTGCAAATGTTTAACTTTTGGAACATATTTAGTTCAAGGTTTTGTATTCCCTCTGTTTGGGACATAAATCCACAGTGACCAGTAATTTGATCTATTGTGGTGTGGCTTTAGTTTAGTCACTACTGACAAATTATCAAGTATTCGGTTTGATACAGTTGTCATTCTTGTCTTTACCGCATGAAACCGACTCTGCCGGTGCCGGTGGTGTAGTGGTAAGCGTGACTGCTTTATCACCCCAATGAGTCTGGGTTCAATCCCAGCCGAGGTCGGTGGGATTTTTCTGATGCATAAAAATCTCTGGTCAGGTCTTCCTTCGGGAGGGAAGTAAAGCCGTTGGTCCCGGCCCATGTTGAATGGGTGCGATATCCTACGCAGGTGTGGAAGCTGCCTTCCTGCACATTCGATTGCCGTCAATAGATGGCAATCGATGTCCGTCGGTGATTGGCTCTAGATTGCGGAACAGAGACCGACGTTAAATAAAGGAATGAAGAAGACGAAGAAGAAGAAGAAGAAGGAGAAGGAGAAGAAGAAGAAGAAGAAGAAGAAGAAGAAGATGAAGAAGAAGAAGAATAAGAAGAATAAGAAGGAGAAACCGACTATAATTGAAAGGTCCCGCTATTTATACCCTCCGAAGAATATAAGCACCCTCCAAAGGCGAGCCCCTTTGTCAGTTAAAATCGGAATCCTTAGCAACAAAATCTTGCAATGACATGGATATTTACCATGCATCCATGTAGAACCCTAGTCTTAACACTCTGTGGAAATACTTGTATAAGGCGTAAAAAGTAACAAGGACTACTAAAATGCGTTCCTTTGATTACAAAGAAAATCCTATTCCCCTAGCTTGAAGTAAATAGGACTAAGTGGTAGATATTATACTAGTAACACACCATGAAAAGGTTATCTACACAGCTAAAAATAAATTCTAATATTACATCCAAGAAGATGCACTTCAATCATGTCGAAAATCTCATGTAATTTTTATGGTCACAAAAATAAACAAATGCAGTAAAACCAGCGTAATGTCAGTTTATGCACTGTATTTATGATAATTTTGTCCTTTTTGGCAAGCAATATTACACCATATTTTTGACACGATTGAAGTGCATCCACTTTGATGTGATATCAAACTAAATTTTTTGCTGTGTACAAGCGTTACCTAGCAGTTCAAGTTAATTTTAATACAATTTAATTAAAATTTATTTTACCCTCGTTTTATTGAATTAACAAAACTGATCGTACACCCTAGAACACATGTTTTTCAAACATGGAGAATAAACGTTTTTTTTTTTAAATTGTGGCTGGTGATTGAACAGATGTTTATTGATTTACTGTTATAATTTTGGTCTTTATTGGAGAAGCCTGTATGAAGTTAGATTTATTTTAATAAAACGCTCGATTTTTAACTTTTTACCTAGTGAACGAATTTTACTAAAATTAGTGGCAGATGAATGATCCTTATTACGACTAAAAATGAGCAAAATTGCAAGACGTTATGTTCATTTTATTTAAAAAAAATAAGGTTTTTCAAGAAAAAGGCGTTTTACTTAAATTGTTCTAACTTTGTGTAAACTCAACCAAATATGCCCAATACTGAGCCAATAATTGATAAATGTTTGCTGAGTCAGCTGCCAAAAATTCCGACACGTATTAACTTGTGCTAAGAGCCGTTTTTCTAAAAAAAATAATGCTGTTGTACGGTCAATTTAGAGATACACTGTAAATATGGTGCATACTTTTTTGTCCCATTTTCAGTACACATAGTCTTCAATGCTTACTGATTACTACCTCGAAGATAAATGGACCGGTCACGGGGTAAGCTAGACCAACTAATGATGCAATACGATAGCTCTTATGATAGGCTGCATGAGTAGAATGCTAGGATTTTTTTCGAATGAATTAATTTATATAGGCTCAAATGTTCAAAAGGACTCTATGGAGCTGAAAATTAGTGAATAATTTTATTATAGAATATTTATGAGTTCTTCTTATTTTTCGCAAGCTCTCAATTAATAACTGTGGAAGTGCATCTAGAACACTAAGTTGAGAGCACGCAATAAGTTAATATGTGATAAGAGCAATAATCATAAAATGCGAGGAAGAAGAAGAAGTTCTGTCGTCGACGCAACTCCCTTCCTTCTTCCAAACGATGCTTCTTCCAGAGTGCCAGCCGCTTTGCATCCTCTTCGTCTTTAATTCACTCCTTCCCCATATTGTCTACAATTCTAATTGTGTAAAAGTAATGCGCGTCATTCCTATGTTTGAAAACGGGTGGCTGTGGCTTTTTAACATCGCTTGCTTCCCTTTCGCTGCGTATTTCGGCCTCCGTGGACATCACGTCCAATTCCGGCACCTCTGCCTCAAGCGCGTTGACTTCTCCCCCTGGTTCTTTGTCGTTGCCATCCAAAGATGCACTTCCAACCACCACACCCGCGTACATCAGTGTGCATGTCAAGGCTTAGTTCCGCAGTGAATTTCTCCCGGACAGATTTCACTTTTCTGTACTTTCCGGGATCGTATTGAATGTTGCCTTCCGCAGGCGACATATGTACCTTCACTGCCTTTCCAGCTGCATAATGGAAAATTTATTCAACACTGTTATTACTGGATAAAGCACAGACTCCTCCGACTTAAACTTGATGAATAAGGCTTTCTCCTCCGATGTCCGATAACTTGCTTCATCAAACGGTGTTCTTGACCTCAATTCGAGGCATCATCCAATTTAATTTGCTTCACTGACCGACCGAGCTGCAAGCAATGAACGCTATGATTTCTGTAGAGCCAATGTTCTATTCAGCTCCATTGTGCGTCGCACATCGTATTTTCCCTTGAAAGTGATTTAATCCCCAAAGTGATTTAACACGATTTCCAGATGTCGACGATGTGCAATCCTTCGTATCCTTGATTCTTCAAACAGTTCGAAGTCTGAATCAGAAAACGCATTTGTTTTTTTTTTCAGTGGTAGCATATCCAGGCTTTTGTTATGACAATCATCATCTTCCAGAGACTCATTGTTGGTAGATTACCCTCCCCTGCTAATTAATTCAAACAGGTTAAAGTGCAATAGCTTCTAATGAAAAAAAAACACTGTCAAGATTATCCTTATATGCTAGAATCATATGGCGACCTCGTGGTCAACTTTCTGCACTTGTACAGGATACGAAGTGCAAGAGAAACGAGAGAGAGGGAGAGGGAGAGCGAGAGAGAGAGAGAGAGAGAATTAGTGTGGACCAGGGGAAACAGATGAACATGTCAAACCGGCATGTTCCGTCACTGCGCATGTTCCTGCCGGGCAGGCGGCGACACCGACGACGACGATGTCGGACGACGCGTGACGATGGAATATATTATTCCAATGCTGAAAATGTTTCATAACCGCTTTTCTCCAGTAATCTAGCACACCGGTGCCGAGTGGAGTGGGCACGTCGTCGGTTGACCAGTGCTAATCGAAAACTTGGTGTTTTAAGCTTCCTTTCTTCCGGTTTGTCTCTTGCAGAAACTCCAAAGTTTGATTCCAAGCAGATCAAGAACCCAGAGCAACAATGGCTTATCGAAATAATAACCGTCGCAATGGAGGTGGTGGCAATTTCGGCAACAACTACGGTGCGGGCCGAATCAATCCTTGGGACACGGGTGTGGGCGGGGGCCGTGGCAATAATGACGCCCTCACGTTAGCTAACAGTCTGATCAATAATTTACTCCGCAATCAAAACACTAACCAGGTGCCGCCGTCGCTCCTGGACGGCGTCCAATCGTCCCGATTCGACGATATGAATGGATTCAACTTCATACGGGTAAGTGCAAACGTGTGCCAAGTACGTGGCCCTTGTAGTCTCGCGTAGATACATATATCTTCTTTTTTTTATTGGACTTTTTTCCCGGGTGGCAGTGGTGTTCTTTCGCGCAGTGACCGTCCATTTGCGGGTCAAAGTAAGAGAGTTGGGGCACTGTGGTCACCAATGCCGCCGAGTTGCGGTGGCAGCAGTGCCAGTTGCACTGCTTTGATCTGCTACATGCTGGGGGTTACGGTGCTGCAGGAACAGTTATTGCTTGTCTCTTTGGTCGCTTTCGTTTGATTGAGATATACTTTAGTTACTTTATACTGTCCTTATCGTTTCTAGTTTAGCTAATGATCAAAGATTGTCCCTTTTCAAAAGTATATTTGCAAAGAACTAAACGTCAGCAGAAGAGGAAAAGAAAGTGTATATTCAATTGCTGCGAAAGTTTGGAAAACAGGTCAAATGGATCTCGCGTTGAATCAATCATTGGATTTAAAAAAATTTGTTTTCAAAAAAAGAGTTTCGTATGTTTAAGAGTAGTATGTTATAACTGTAGCTTAATAAGAGCTATTCGGGGAAATTGACTCAGTTTTACTTAAAGAATAAATAACAAATTACTATGGGATGTGTCTAAATGTACATACTTCGAAAAAGTAGTGTAAATTTCTGTTACTATGGCGCACATAAATGGAGCGTCATGTATCATAAAAGTTATAGATCGTGTAAATTCATGAGATATTTAATGAAATATTCCAAACATTGTATGCAACCATCTTTGTAAGCAACATTTCTTGCAAGTTGTTAGTTTACGTGAAAAGAAGGTTTACATGCATGATTGTTTGCATGCAGAGATTTTTACATCACCATTAAAAATCAATTTTTTTTTCTGTGTATGTAATGATTGTGAATTACACATATATCCAAATATATGTCCAAACACTGGAAAAGTTAACATGACGCCAGTTCTTGTAGAATCTGCGTATCGATGACATAATGCATTCATTCTATAATTTGTTGTGTGAATTGTTCTTAGTCTGATTTCATTTGTGGGATCTTCTTAACATAATTCTTATAAGATAAGCTTTCTTGGTAAATATCATAATGACAAAATAGGGTATGTGCACTAGTTATGTCAATAGTGCTTCCGTATATGACCACAGCAAAAAACCTAATGTTTTATTAAAATCAAAGTTTCTGACACAGGAAATTAATTTCAATGCTTTACTTTATATCTGCATTGAAAAAAAGTAAAATTATATTTTGAACATGATTTTGACCGTATGACTAATTATGGGAGCACCAGTGCTGTAACTGGTCTAGTTCCTCTATATAATAGCAAATGATTGTAAGAATTTGCATTTCTAAACGATTCTTAAGCCTTGAAAATTGTAATGAAAGCAATAATAAAGATCAGAACTTACTAACCTTTTTTACGTTCCATGATCACAGTAAAGTTCCATTTAGGGCTGTAATAGATAAAGTTGACCATTTTAATCTTGAACTTCTGGAATTTCGCAACGAAATCAAAACAAGTACTTTAAAACAACACTCACGTGAAAGGGTGATATCTGGATTTGAGCTGGGAAATTCGATGATTTTGATTCATGAATGAGTTTGGTGCTAATCGCCGACTAGATACAATTAAATTGGCTTTTAGGTTTTTCGTGGATTTTCGAATAATTCCACAACAAACATTGTGTTCTGCATTGTCTCCCATATTTTGAAGAAGCAAATTATTTCAATGGACATTTGGACCATGTTTTAGAAATCTGGTTTATGTATGCTATCTGCCTTAATTATTCTACTACTTCCTGGTTTATTAGCTTGCTGCTAATTTGGGGCACCTCTTTTGCAGCTTATTTCGAAATTTGGTAATTTGAGGATGGTCACAAGGGGTATTTAGAGAACCACACATAGCATAGACGAGTGTGCAAAACACAACTGTGTGCTGGCACAAATGAGTTGTGCACTGTACCAATGCTATTTTAAATATGTGCGCACATGCAGGATGATTTTTTTTAACTTTATTTAAGAGAGTTTTAGCCATGCGCTAGTTCATCTCCGATGCAGGATGAATAAAATATCTCAATTTTTTATAATTTCAAAATTCATCTCACACGTTGTTTTTGGGCACATTTATTTGCGAGCAATTTATATCAGAATGTGATTTATACAGAACTGCACGCGAGCCATATTTATGTTCTCATATGCAATCGTTTCTTAAAGATTTGTATGCTTGCGAAAAAACTATTCATATGGATCGAAGGCAATTCTTTTCCTAGTCTAAAATCTATGTAATTGTTTATATTTCAGAATCCAGAAAAAAGAACATAGTACGATATTTTGACAATTTTCCAAGCTCCAGACACTTCATTTTTTCAAAGTTCTGGATTTAAATTTTTGATTGTTTGATTGTCCATGTTGCGGAAATTTTTTTTTCAATTCTGGTTCAAATTTAAGACCATCGGCAATTCTTTCAAGTCTCAGAATTTTGAATATATTTTTTAGTTCGGGATCTTACACAAATATCTATGTCAGAAGTTCCACGAACTATTCCAAATCTGCTATTCAAAAGATCTCGCATTTGTTTAAGGTGCAAGGGAACGCAGAACATTTTTCGAAACATTCAACAGCAGTTTTTTAGTTCAAAACTAACAATATGGTCCTGAAAATGTGTTCACTACATTCTATTTTCTAACCGGAACACAGTGAACATAGTTTCTTTAACAAACGCTCGGTTTTAATATATAAAAAAAAACGGCTTTCATTCACGTTTGAAAAATTATGTTCGTCCACTTTCCGCTTAAGAATACCCAATTTTGCTGGCATAATATGGAAAAGTTTATACTAAATCCTTGTTTTTGCTTGACAATTTGCTTTTTTCTTATAACTTATTTTTTTCTTATTTGCTCGAAATCATGGAAGTTTCTTTTTCACTTGAATTAAAAAAAAACTTAAGGTTCTGTTCCGTGAAACTCTCATAAAATAATTACAAAAAATTGGATCAATTTCTGAAATCAACAAGAAGATCTCTAGATTTATTAGATATTATAGTTCTGAGACGTGGAAAATTTCTTGGAGCATATATATTATTCTGTATATTCCGAGAAACGTTCTATTTTTCCTCATTCAAACCATAATCCTTATCCGGCGCCGGTGGTGTAGTGGTAAGCGCACCCCAATGGGTCTGGATTCAATCCCAGCCGAGGTCGGTGGGATTTTTCTGAGGCATAAAAATCTCTGGTCACGTCTTCCTTCGGAAGGGAAGTAAAGCCGTTTGTCCTGGCCCATGTGTGTTGAACGGGTGCGATATCGTACGCAGGTGTGGAAGCTGCCTTCCTGCACATTTGATTGTCGTCAATGGATGGCAATCGATGTCCGTCGGTGATTGGCACTAGATTGCAGAACAGAGACCGACGTTTAATGAAGGAAATGAACAACCATAATTCTAAATTTCGACAATCTTTCGTAATTTGGAGATACGGATATTCCATAGGAATTTTGTCAGTTTTAAAGTTGTTGTAAATTATTTGCAACCATCATATTTTGCCCAAAAATTGTCTTACCACAGACAAACAGAAATAACACTCGCAAGTAGTTCATCGAACACGCATTTAACGGTCAATTTAAATGTTTTTAGTTGGTAGTACCACCACTTGTGGCGCGCATAGTCAATTCCCTTGCGTTTGACGTTTACAAACTACCACCATCTGTTCAGCGTACTGCCTATCACAGTATACTCAATAGATGGCGTAGTGTTTAGCGAAGATGTTTTATATTGAAAAACATTCAATGTGTTATGTCTGTTTGTCTGAGGTCTTACTATCTGTTACAAATAGTGATGACATTTTTCACTTATCATTATATTTAAATTAATATTTATGCACACGGCAAATGCTTCAAATGTAACTTTGGATTTCTTACACCTTTTGTTACAGAAGTTCTGTATATGTTTCTTACGAGAAATGATATGGCAGTTTTCCTATCAGTAGTTTTGAACAAATTCTTGCACATGATGTATTTTACGTTCAATGAAAAATGCTGGAAATCAGCTTAATCAGGTTTATTCCACGTGAGTTATAACCTCGTCTGTAGTGAAACTCAATACTGTCACTTCACTAGTGACAGAGATCCAGCTCACCTCACACACCGAGCAGAATTATTATTAATATTAGCTAACAATAAAAAAAAATATTTGAAATGTCCACATGAACATGTTATGCATGCAAAATGCAAAAAATCTGTACATATTTTTTTTCAAAATTTGATTATTTTAGTGTGCTTATTGTTAAGCTAGCAAAAAATAAGTTCATGCCATTTCTGATATCTATACGACAGCCGGCTAAGACCTTAGCCATAGTGGTCGAAAAAAAGTTTGTTGCCTTATTTTTAGCTCCTTCTTTTCCTTTTCGATCAATTCTACGTTATAGTAACAAAGTTATAAGAATAGATATTTGTGTTGGGACTTAAGAAAAAATTGCCAATTGGACGCAGTTAAGGAATATAGGAGGGTTGCAGCCTTGAGTACTATAGGTGTCGATAGGCGCTCAAATTAGTCTATCGACCCTCTTGCGTCATGGAATAACGCAAGGCTAGACCAAACCACTCCACATTTTTCGCATGGTACTTCTGTTTAACCGGGACTCCTGCGACAAAAATCTTCAGACCGCAAACACGTCATCGCGCGGAGCTTACTTACTGTTTTGTTCAGAACAACAGAAAAGATCACGTTTCACTATCAAAATTGGGCTGTAAACAGTAAATGTATTACAGTTCGAAATTAAATTTCAAGAATTACCAATACGTGGCAGGTCATCGCTACTCAGTCGCTCTAGAATTCGGCTTGATACTTCGACCAAATATCAAGTTTTGAGTTAGCAAAATTTCACCAAAACAATTTGTCGGCAACTTTTTAGCTTAAAAAAGGCCAAATATCCAGTATTTTGCTCTCGGTAATGGTGGCAACGTGATCTTCAGAGAGCGCCGTTTCAAAATGAGAGACGGTGAAAATATTTACGTTGGCCTTGAAATTAAAAATGAATTTGCGCTATCAACATTTCCAATCACGTTCTGAAAGTAAATTAGAATGTGACGCTCAATAATATTTCTTGCTTTTGAGGACTCTTACTTTGATGGATTGAAAGTTTAATCAGAGCAGAGGTGAGCCAACCCTGGGCTGAATGCCTCTTTTATAAAGAATAACTAACTAACTAGCGGCTCCGTAAAGCTAACGCGATTGAGCCTTACAAATAAACGAACTAGATAAAAAAAACTAACTAATTAACTAACGGCAAAACCATCGCCTACGATCGTCAGGGGATAAATTAAATCCTTGAGCGCTAATTTTTTGCATGGAGATAGGGGAATTTACGTATTCTCGTCAATCTAAGCAGCGTCTGCACTTCTACTAGCATTTTCTCAGCGTCACGCACATATATGATGTGTCTGTTTGTTTACATTCATCTGCTGCTTGCTTCTCTATCCATTCCAATCGACAGAATTTTTCATAACGTTTCGAAAGCGTTTTTACAACGCTCCAAACTTCTCAGGTGAGTGTGACTATTGTCGGCAGTCTCTTTTTCTTCGGCAACCTTCCCATTAGAACTGCGTGTTAACCAGCTGTTCTATTATCGGCAACTCGAAATCAACCTCATTTTGTAGTGCGTATGCTTTATTTGAAAAAAAAATGTAGCATTACTGGATTGCTCGATCGTTCAAATATAATCAGATTGAAGCTGAAAGGCTAAACAATCGTTTGGACACATTCAGGGAAGTGCGTTGATGGGAAAACATAGTGAAATTAACGTTTGAATTTTGGTTGCCGAAAACAGTCAATGGGTGCCGAAGCCAACATTTACCCTACATCATGTTTCAGGCATCGATTCGCCAAAAATGAGCGTTCGTGAATTTTGTTTTCCCCCTGTCTATAATAGGTAAAGCGATTGCCAAAGCCATCATTTACCCTATAATTTATCAAATGAGGAATCATAGAATTCAATTTTTTATAGTCATTTTAACACTCTTGGGTCAATCGTGACTTATGCATAGATGAGATTTGAACTCGTAACTTTGGCGTGAGAAGTATGAATGTTATCCACTGTGCCGGAGCCGTCTCCTATCATAGAATTCTGCCCCTATCTGATGGTAGTGTTAGCATGCGCCAGTTACGCCAAATCGACGATCAAATGTATTGCTTACAAAAGCTGATACGTCCCTATGAAAAAGTAATCGAGAAATGAACTAACTGTCGAAGATCAAAGTTTACCTTGGCTATGGTGAAACGTATTTGTTTTCTATCGCTGGAGTTTTTTGCACTGCTCTTTTGTAGCGCTACATCATCCGGCATCATCCGAATTAATACTCTGCCAATTAACTTGTTTTCATTTTTATATATATTCAGTAACCGTGTTGAGACCGGGATAGCGATTAAGGTCTTAAAATTTGTAAAGAATGGATTGCGCCCCATTGGTTAAGCCGTTTAACGTGTTGCTGTTATTGTTGTGGAAACTCATTTGGTGAATTCATACTGTCAGTGCAATATCAGTGAAAAACACGTTGGGGAATGGCATCAGAATTCGTTCTTGAAATCGGCTACGGTAGAATTGTCAGCTTAGTCCAACTCCCTAAATGCAAGCTGCTTTATTCATAAAAATGGGAACACAAATGATCAACAATTAAATCGTGCAATCATTAACTCTATCTCACGTGTATTATGCGGATTTCTAGGCGATCGACAAGGGTTGAGTGTATCCTAATATCACAGACCGTGGGATTAACTTAGAATTTGAAACATACCAGCACATTCTTCGAACTCATATTCACAACACGAGATCCATTTGATGATATAATAGTTGATGCAGCTCTATCCAAACCTTCGATTTAAGTTTACCTTTTGGCCAAATTATGATATTCAATTTTCTGATCTTTCATTTAATGTGTCCAACTTACCTAAAACAGATGTACGAACCAGGGAACTGTTGCGTTTTTATAAGTTTCATAAATTTTGATTAGCATTTCCACAATCGAGTTCAGTTTCACTAAGCTAAGCTAGTTTTACGTTACGTGCGTCCATATTACCTTTACTCTAACGAAAGAATGACTGTTACTAATTACTTCGGAAACCTGCTCAATATTTTTAAGTATTCTTCATTCCAAGCACATGAAACATCTCCTCATTTCTTCTACTTTTCCCGATGCTTTTAATCAAAAAAAGCCAAAGCCAGCATTGTGTTCCCAAAGACCAGATCTAGGCGGTGAATCTTCAACCTTTTCCAGCATTAGCTACTCACGCCGAAAATGAAACCAATAGAGTTAATAAGATGATCTGAACACAATGCAGTCAATGCAGAAAACATATGTACACAAAACACAAATGTTGTCCATAGCAAAAACATTTCTTCTATTCTCTTCTCTTCGATGTTTTCTCTCTCTCCCATTCAGAATCGGTACGGCAATAACCGTAAGAATAACGGCCCCCATAAAGGTGGCATTCGTAAACCGGATGCATTCACCCGTTCCAAGAATGTTCTGGCCAAAAATTCCCATAATAAAAACAAAAACGATAAAGATTCGAGCAAGAAAGAGAGGTAAGAGATTTTCAACCATTATTCCAACAACAAACCAAAAATCACTTCTTTATTCGATTCAGCTTTTTATCCTCGTAAGTCTCGAAGCATGCTCTATGCTCCTACCAAATCGATGCCTCCTCGGTTGCAGCCTTGAGTGACTATTTTCTCTTCCAATGCGAAAGCAAAATCGTTCCATATCCTCCTACCTTAATGATGCAGAGTACAACTGAAATCGAATGCACACTATTTTCACACACCTTTCAAGTCAATCAAACTGCAAGTTTCGTTTTCGCTCACATCCATCAATCCAATCGTAAATAATATAGGGGTTGACCCCTCCAGGAACGATACGTACAGGCATCTCACGGTACACCAAGAGAGAAATCGTTTTCCTTTTCTTCAAGATTACCAGAATTGTTTGAATGCTGCCGGAATATGCACCAAAACTTGACTACATTTATTATTTTACTTATTTATTAGACGGTCTTTAGATTTCAGTATGAATAATTCGCGGTTAGATTTGCATTTCCCATGTAGATATCAAATAGCTAATGCGGTCCATTACAGTTTTACCCCGGATTCGCGTACATGACACTTTCCACTTTCATCGCTGATTTCTCACGAATGACAACTCAATAGTACAAATAAACAAAAGAAAAGTCTCCACTGTGATGGAATTGTCTTTTAAGAGGAATAGGCGTTTGTTTGTGAAAAGTGTCATGTACGCAATATCATGGTTTACCTGTATCATGTTTCTATTGGCAGTAGATTTACAGGACGTTGCACAATGCTTTTAATTGTTGGAATACCCAACAATGATATTTGGCGCAAATCCGAAGTTCACTAGCATGGTTAAGCGAAGCATTTTAATAACGAGCTTAATAGACAAGGCATAGAAAACGCATTTTTACATCCTTGAGACTGCGGAAAACTCAATCCGTCCACTTGCGTGTATTTTTCGACAGTTACGTAATCCTTCTTTTTGGTTAGGAACAAACGGTAGGGTGGCAAATGGATTGATAAATACCAGGCGATAAATCAAGCCGAACAATACATTTGGTCCCAAGTAACATCGACAGATTTTATTCATCGTTTATCTCTTTGCATCCTCACGGCCATGTAAATACATTTCCAGCTATTTGCAACACACGGTTCGATGAAAGAAGCTATTAGCTAGCATATAATAAGATGTTAACGAAAGAGAAAGTCGATTCAGAGAATCGATCATTGTTACTTAGGACCTTATACATTATTCGGGTTGAAATATTGATGTGTTAGATAAACGTCTACTGGATGGTAGCCTACGCTATGCGTGACTTCATGGATTGTTTGCATTGCATAAGTGATTGCTGTCATGCCGTCGATAAAATCAATCACTGACCCATTATGCCTCTCGTGGGAACGTTGTTTTAAAGGATGTTTTGTGAGATCATTTCTATATCGGTATCAATTTTAAGGAAACTTGGGACTGCAACCACCAACGCAGCCATTGTAGCTGATTCGCTCGTTATGATTAATTTGGTATTTACAGAGCACGACCTTAGGATGCTTTTTTTATTTCGTGCATGGAATGTGTGTTTTGAGGGAGTTGAGTTTTGTGCTCACAAAATTGACAGTAGTTTAGAGCCGTTGATAATGTCACGCTTTATATAAATTAGGTAGGTGCACTTTCCTTAAAATTACTAAAATGAACTAAGTATGCCGTGTTCAGTGATAATTGCTACCTAATTTAGAAATGTTATTTTGCAACGAATTGATTGTTTCATTTTGTATGAAAAAATAATTCCAAACACTAAGCCGTGCTATGAAAATCTTCTCTGTCACCAAATGTTGAATGAATTGAAATCAAGAAATAGTGCAACACTAACTGACCTTTTAAATGTAGTTTAACTAATGTAAAATGAAAATGAATCAATTACTTAGCTGAAATGTTTACCGGGACTCAAATATCTATCAATGGATCTAATTTTTGGCCTACTAAGCCACTCGCAGTTTATCTTTATTTTTCGCACGGAAATTCAAACTAAATGGAATGTTTCTACTACAAATGACTATTCTACATTTATTTACCTTTCCATATATACCGTTGGATTCAATAAAGAATCACAAATTCAGTACCAACATTTCAAAGGGGCGTAATTGCTTTTGTAAACAATGGCTTTAGACGTCGATTTCTCTCAAATGAAAACCCACCCCTACAAATTACAAATGCTAGCTGATACAAGAAACATTCCTCTGCGTGCTGGTGTCATTCATTTTCATGAGTGAGCTTTAATTCGCGAGAAATCGACAACTAAAGCCATTGTTTACAAAAGCAATTACGCCCCTTTGAAATGTTGGCACTGAATTGTTTATATTTTGTTAAAAATACAACGATATTTACCGTCGATGATGATGATGATGATGATGATGATGATGGCATAAATGAATTCGCTAGGAGTGCTTCATTTGTTGTTTTAGAACAAAGGGTGTAAGTAATCATCCTTAAAGGCTCTATGTGCTGTAGCTTTCAAACTAAAGTACACACTACGATAATATCATGTAAACTTCGGTTTCCTGAGACGGCCCTTTTGGCATACGAATCAGTTGAAAGAAACGAGAAAATCTATTCAATCAAACGTACTCTTCGTCGACTTTAAGATTTATGTTGTAGCTAATGAACTAACGCATCGGGACAAACCTATTATTGATTTGTGCACGGAGAAATCATTGATATTGTTGATCTTTTCTGATCGATAGAACGGAAATGGGTGATAAGATGAAGTACCGCTCTACCCTAGGTCTCCTGTAAAATTAGTTATTTCTAAGTGTGTATCGTACTAAACGTATAACTGAATCGTTATCGCCGAAATCATGTGTAGATTTATTTTATCTTTTCTGCTCGATAGGAGGAAAATGGGCGTTTTGACCTTTGTAATTTTTTACCCTACCTATTGACAATGCAGCTTTTAGACCGTGTTCCATTTGGTGATTTTTTACTTAAATTTGACACTTCAAAAATAAATTACAATGTTTGAAAATCCCTCTGTTGTTGATCATCCGATTTTCGAGAAGGTGTTTGGCCAAATTAACTCTTGGTCTGTCAGAAATAAGCCTGGTACAATAGCACGTTGGTTTGAAAATTTTCCATTTGTCAAACTTAAGTGAAAATTCACCAAATGTAACACATCCTTAGCTGCTGACTTCTGCTTGACCGGGACTACTCAGGGCATTTAGAACATGGAAAATACCTTTCGGACTGTCAACCTTATCTAAGGGCTGTGCAGAAACTAGTTTTTATATCCCTCCCGCGTAGACAATCGTCCACACACATTTTTGAAAATTTGTAAGAACGGTAGACACTTGCCAACCCTCCTTTCTTCTAAAGTGTGTACGTAGTTTATGGACAGCCTTCTACGAGTTAAATTTAACCTGGAAATTGGAACACAGCCTTATTAGTTAGCTACCTAAAAACGTAGCAATATGCTTTCAGTTAAGAAAGCACTGAATTTTATATTTTGGAGGTCGATATTTTAACCTGTACGCGTTTTCAATCCAATTTGCCAAGAGTCGCCCATACACCTCCGATGTGCTTCGCATTCAAATGGTGGAAATTGTGAATGGTTTCTGAAATATACACAAAATTAAAGAGTTAGAATTAAATCTAAGAGTTGTTGGAATTGGTGTGTTTTTTTTTAAATTTATTTATTCATTGCAGTCAATCAGATGTAGAGCGATTTATTGCATTTTATCACAATGTTTGTATTATTATTAAAATTTATGATGCCCGTCTACCTATTTTAAGATGTCCAACCTGAGCTCTGAGTTATGAGATTGATCAAAACTGCACCGTTAGAAAAAAATCATTTTAATTTCTGTGATACATAGCACACTCGTAGCTATTGCAAAATTTCGCGTAAATTTACACGATATTTCATGTAAATTGTAGCGTAATATCTCATAAACCAGCTATGTTCCATACAAGCTTGTGCACAATTTTATTGTTTAGATCAAACGCAGATTTTAGGCAACAGAAATAATTCAGGATTTTGGAAGAGATTTTGACTGGGTTGAGTAATTTCCTTTTATTTTTGATTTGCATCAATCAATGACGCAAACAATCACGTTAAGAGGGCATTAGAGATGGAAATTAATGATAACATTTTTATTTCTGAACTACAATTAGTGTGAACATTTATATCCATAATTTAAATTGATGAAGAGAACTGAATGCTTAATACTGCAAATATTACTTTTAGAAACATGACTGCGGCGGTGACCGTTTTCGGCAACAAAAATAAACAATTTTACGCTTCAACATTGAACTCAATCGATGATTATTTCAAATGGTCCTATCTGCTTTGATCGATTCTCTTCATCGACTTTCTCTTTTCATAACCACTGGTATGCAAACAGATTTCGCGCTAATTCTACCACATAGTTTAATAAAGGAGGTTGTTATCTAGCGTCCAAAACGTCAAATACAACAGGGAAAAGTTTTGCAGCTGTTTTATTGACGAAACAGAAAGTCGATGAAGAGAATCGATCAATGCTGATAGGACCTTTTGAAATGTTTATCTATAACTGTATCTATATCTGCTTGATAACTAAGGGACCATGCACTTATTACGTAAGATTTTTCTAGGGATTCTTTTATCACTGCTCCCACTTAGTAAGATCTAACATCGACCATTAACATGTATTCTGTTGTTGTTGTTGTATGTTGTTCTTCGTAAGAAAATTTATTTTTAAAATTTCACGTAACAAGTGCATGGTCCCTAAGTGATTTTAGTATCAGTTTGATTCACTGTTGTTATGACGGAAAACGCATTTTACCTGCTTTAAGTTGGAATGAAACATACGCACCACATAAATACTACTGAAAATGCGTTGCCACTAATATAGAGATTGCTAAAGTATGATTGTGTCAGTGATTTGTTTTCATCGGGAAAATTTTCCGCTATGAAGTTTTTTTTTCCCGATGAAAACATCTTGCGTATACGTATACGTGACGTAGTGTGCGTACGATAAACGTCAGC